GTGCCACCAGGGAGGCCCATCTCTACAAATTCTTAATATAATTAAATAAAATTTTATTCTGAATCCTTGAATGTTTACCACACTTGATGGTCACTTCCCTGATCAAGTTCCTTCTAGGGTTTTCATAAAGTAGGTAACAAAGAATTCTTAACTTCAAATAAATCTACAACTTAATAGGTGGCATCATAGATGTTTCCATCAACCATGTTTCTGACCATATTTTTATTTTTCACAGCCATCTCGTGGTGTGTTTGAAGAAATGAAGTATTTGGAACTTATGATTGTCAATGATCACAAAACGGTAAGGAGAGAATCAATAAGTTTTAGTTCTGATCACTTAAGGAAGACTTTTAATTCATATTGATTTATTATTTGCTCCTTATTAAAATAATTATAGTTTTTTTTTAACTATCAAGTGACTTGATTTACTTCATGGTGTTTGGAGAACTATGTCTTGTAGAGTTTTTACAACTCAAAACTTTTCTCTATTTAATAATTGCTGTACTTAATGTACTAAGTAACAGTTTGGGGTCATTCACTTGTCTTCATTTAGAATTTTCATTCTCTCCTTTTCTTTATCTATGTATTTGGTCACTGCTTTCTAAGCTTAGTCCATGTCTTCATTCTGCTGGTATGTCATTGCTATTTTATCTTACTAATTAGTAGGCTCCATAGCAGATAGAATTTTAAGAGATAAACATATATACTAAATATATGTCCAATGAGATTATCTAATTGATGACTGACCTTCCTCAAATATTGGAAAGATAAATAATCTCATGTTACTTCTATCCATATAGTTCAAATTATCATTTCAATGACACTAAAGGGACATATGAAAAACAATTATTGCCCTCCTTTGGCCCCTATGACTATAAAGTGCAACTTTTCTTAACTATATTCTACTTAACTATTTCCCTTGTCACATATCTTGGCTGAAGCCTGGAGACATTTGTAGTTTGGTCAATAGAATGTACCCCATACTTTTTTTTTTAAACTTATGGCATGCTGGTAAATGTTTACTGCCCAGGGACCTGAAAATAAACCCTGATTTATAATGCTTGTTGATTAATGGTGGTGTGACTGTTCCCACCAATTCAGTTGTGTTGAATATTACTCAATAGAGTAGCACTTAATTTGTATGTAAATTTATTTAATTTGCTACTATCTTTTACATATATTTCTTGGTATGTGTTAGAAGAAACAGAATTTATCATGATTATGTATAACTTAGGAGAGGTCTTTTCTGCTATGAAGGAAAATCAAGTGTTGAGGCAACTGTTTTCTAAACAAAGACTAAAATATATATTTCTGAAGCACTTTGAGTTGCTTGAAACACCAAGATAATTTTTTCCACCTGAATTATTTTAAAATTATTTTATGTGACAGAGATTTTTTCCCCAGCTACTTTTTTTATCCTTAGCATTATGGCATGTTGTGAAATTAAGTCTTTAGAAACCTCCACTGTTTTCAACATTTATTATGTAAGTACTTTTAAAGTAGTGGCAATAATAAAGATATTTATACAATATCTTTTAGTTCACAAAGTGCATTCACATATAACTCATAATTGATAGTTAGTTTTTAAGCCCGATATTTGTAATTGGAAATCTTTTGTTCAACTGTAATCTATTGAGAAGGTACAGGAAGCCATTGATCAGAGAGCAAATCTAAGTAACTGTTCAAAGTAGGAAATTTGTAGAGATCAAATTTATTTTTTAATTCTTTTAAATTGGAAGCATTTTAATCATCTTTATCATGTGAATAATAAAATAGCACCCTTCTTTAATATTGTTTTTATAGACGGAAAATCTACAGATTATGCTATATGTTCTACAATAACGTTACCTTACTGAGACTGCCAAATCTTTTTAATGGTGAACTGGGTAATTAGTTTTATTATTATTATTAGAATGAATGAGAGTTAGGCATGGTATGCCCATTCATCTCTGAAATCAGCAAAAAACTGTAATTGTACTCAGGTTATGAAAAGGGGGGGGGAGGAAGCTTTATCCTGGATAGTAATAATGTCTGAAGTGGAAGGGAATTACATAAGAAGATTTTTTACTATTTAAAGAAATGTTCATCTGGAATAGTGAAACTGAATATATTCCTTTTGCTGAAGACCAGGTTACCACCCAGTCTGTAAGAATCCCAAATAAGTGTGTAATTTTTCTTTTGTGAGTTAAAGAGTTCTTTTTTAAGGTATGCTTTCTATGAGATGAAGGTAGTTTATGAATTTGATTGCCATAAAAAGTAATGTCAGTATTTGGGTCAGATGATTTTATTCACACACTGAAAGTAACATTGCAGTAGGGTAATTAACATCTGTATTTTAATATGTGGAGACTTGCTATTGGTTTTTAGAATGATCTTCTGCTAAGATTACCCATCTCAAAATCTTTTAGATGAGGTAGCACAGTTATTTTCAATAACTTACTCTGGGGTTGAAAATCAAGCTCTAATTTAAATTTTTTTCGAAAAGCAAATTTCTTAAGGATTGTATTTGTTCAGGAAGGAAATCTGCCTCTTTGAATTTAATTACTTTCAGTGATCAAAAAATGTGAAAGTTTCATCCTAAATGGATATCCTGTATTTTTCTTTGTATGCAAAATTGGTTCTAACTCATGCAGGAAATAGAAACATCCTCCTTACATTTGTGCTCTGGCTTCCCTCTCCAATACAGAGTAACCTAATATTGACTTCCTGAGAAAATGCAGATACCTTATTTTGAACAAGCATCCTATCAACAGGCTTTCAATTAGAAAAGAAAAAATCCCTCAATTTTGTAGAAAGCACCTTAATGAGGGAAGGGCAGAACCTAATTTGTGAGATAATTATAGCCTTGGTAAAGGTTTGCAAACATTTCTTTGAGCCACTTAAGCTAAATGTACATATTAATAACCTTATTCTGACACACACAAAAAAAGGGTTGAGATATTTTAAAATACATTAAAAACATGTTTTGCTTATATTTTTTGCCACATTCTTACAAAGATATCAGTAATTGCAAATATATAGGAATAACAATGTTTTCAACTTAAATCTCGTTTGATTTTTTAAATTTAAATGTTATTTATAGTCTATGGATACTTAGCAAATTATGATTTCCCACCAACAATCATGAGGTGGTAGGAATATACATAAACTATTTTATAAGAATTATTAACTGAATAAGTTTATCTTCCATCTCAACCCAAAGAAGGCTTTGAATTTCAGCTCTGTGATCTTGGAGAAGTTATTTGTCCCTCAGAACTTCAGTTTTTCACATTTCTAAAGTGGAGGTAATAAAACCCACCTCATGGAGTTACGTGGAACAAATGCTTCTAGGGGGAACAACACACTCTGGTTCCTTAATGAATCCTAGTTGTTCAGTTAAAGGAGCTTCAGGTGAACAAATCTCATGGTCCTTGATCTGGCCTTACCTTATTTCTCCCGCAGCAGAATTGGACACATTTACTCTCTCCTTTGTGAAATGTTATCTTCATCTCTTGACTTCAGTGACCCAATAACTTTTCCAGTTCACTGACAGTTTCTTCTTAGTCTTTCACTTCTGGCCTCTGAACTGTGGGAGTGTCCCAGAGGGCTGTCTTTTCTTGCTATGTTCTCCTCCTAAAGTGATGACCTCTAATATCAAGACTTTAGATTCTCCACTCTCTATTTCTCTAATCTTCTGAGCTCCATACTTAACTATTTAACTGCCTACTTGACACCCACACTTCAATATCAATAGGCATCTCAATTTAACATTTCTTTTTTTTTTTTTAAAGATTTATTTATTTGTGCATACAGAACTGGGGTACAGGCCAGAGGCTCAGGGGCGGTGAGAGGCTTCACCAGAGACAGAGTGGGGAGCAGAACAGGCAGATCGATGAAGTATACTGCTGAGGGGAGCAGCGGGCGGGTCAGGAGAGGTCTGCCGCGCCATGTGGTCACCTCCTGGGCAGGCGGGTATTGAACTCATGCGGAGGCGGCTTAGATTCTCAGTGCTGTGCTTCAACCCGATGCGCCACCAGGGAGGGCCCATCAATTTAACATTTCTTAATCAGAACTCTAAGTTCCTTAGTCTTAAGCTTCTCACCCTTTGGTCTTTCTCTGCTTTAGATGGCTCAACACCCCCAGTTCCTACCCCAGCTATTCAAGTTCAAAACCTAGGGGGTTCTCTTTTGTTCTTTTTCTTAATTTCCCACACTCTATTTATCAGCCAGTCTTGATAACTCTTGATAGTATATCTTACGTCTATCCATGTCTCTCCATGAATGGCTAGCCTTTGTTATGTTTTACCAACAGGTCTTTTCTGCTTCAGTTTTTGACCATCTCTGATTGATCACATATCATATTTTCCACGTATTACCTTATAACAAACAGAAAGTCTCCAAAAGGGACAGATGAATATTCAGAAACAAAATCAATTCATCATAATAGGTGTGTAACATGACTGAGTTATGGTGTCAGCTAACATTTTTCCTTGGCTTTTATGATTTATACTTCTTAGTGACAAAACTGATTTTTAGCATGCTATTCAGTGGCATTTAGTATCTTTACTGTGTCATAGAACCATTAGCTCTGTCTAGTTACAAAATATTCTTACTATCTCATAGAGACAAAGTTGAAAAATTTACCTTTAGTTTTAACAATATCAGAAAATTTCAGTTTGTAGAATTTGCTAGAGACCATAAAACACTGAGCTGTTTGTAGCAACTTCTTTATGGTAAGTTTAAAGCATCTATTAAAAATACTTAAAAAGTTTGTCATCACTGAGTTTTAGGACTCAGTTTGCTGAAGTGTGCTATGAAAGAGCACATGAAGACAGCTTTGGCAGCTCATGATTCATAGGGGGGACAGCAACACACACAGTAATAGTGATGTTGTCTGAGTCTCTTGGAACAGCTATAAGAAAACAACAGGAAGTAATTTCTCACAGTTCTAGAAGCTGGCAAGTTCAGGTTCAAGGTTCTGGCATGGTTGCTTTCTGATGAGGTCACTTTTCGTAGTTCATAACACTGCCTTCTCTCTCTGTACTCAAACAACATAAAGGATTCTATTTCAAGATGAAAACACTTCCCAAAGTCCCCACACCCCATCATTTTTGGAGTTAGGATTTCAATATATGGTTATTGAAGGGACATAAACACCTAGGCGACAGCAGATAATATACCAATAGTTGTGAATTCATGAATGCTGCTAGTAACACAATATTAATTTACTGCACATTTTTCATGGGTTGTCATTGTCCTTAATATTATAAAAAATAAACATACACAAACATGAAGACATCTATTTGTTAAATGAAATACAGATAATAGCAGATAGAGTGAATGAAATGAAGGGGGTCTGCCATATTCGTAGTGGGAGAGTGGGTACAGGACAAAAAGCAGGCACCAAAGGTTGCCAGTGTGAAAATACTTTTCATGTTTATGAAAGATGCACTATTTTCATAATTACAATTGGGTCATATTTTAGACTTGTGTTACAAATCTGAACAGACTGAAATCTACTATTTCAATTGCACTGGTTATGTTTTCTCTATGCTCAGTTGTAAACTCAGTAATAGCTTATGGTCAGATGAGGACATGATCCGCCCGTGGTAGATTTTCATTTTCAAATTCTCTCAAGGACATAATGAGCAATGTACTCCTTGCTGAAACTAGCCCTCCAGATGTTGTTATAGTATTATTGTCTTACTTAAGAATAAGTAGTCATCAATAACCACAAATATTCATGAGCTTTGGCCCATTTCATTTTTACTTTTAGTCTATATTCTGATTTTGAGTCATTGAAAGCTAAAATCTTTGTTTGGAGATACACTATGGAGAATATATCAAATGGTATGACAGGTGTATTCTATGTTCAGACAGTACTGAAAGTTCAACCTAAGAAATTTCCTTGATTTGTGCCTGGTCTAGGGTGATGATGGTGTCTAGTTGGGACTAAATTTCTTGGTCTAAGTCTTTTATTATATGAGATAGATCATTTCAGTGAAAACAAGAGGATTGCATTTGTAGACATTAAGACTAAATTAAAAACTTACTTCTGAAGTATAAATCTGCTCATGCAGATTTTTAAGGTTCTCTCTGTTATCTGGAACATTGTGGGTACTTTAGACAGAATTTTGTTGCTTAAGAGAGAAATGCAATAATAATAGCATACCAACATGGATATTCTCTCAACTGTTTAATCATAATTTCAACTGTTGCTGTGTCACTTTTGCTTTTACAGACTTTTGAAATTTACCACTAAGTTACTATTTGGCACTGACTGGTCTGTCTCCCCTCCTGCCCTCCCCTCCCCTCCAGTATAAGAAGTATCGCTCCTCTCATGCGCACACCAACAACTTTGCAAAGTCTGTGGTCAACCTTGTGGATTCCGTAAGTATCCTGGTTTCCTTGAACTCATTTTTCCAAAATGGAATGGTTTAGATCTCTATTTGCTTACTTTATTTCTGTTTCTTCCTTGGGAAAAACAAAAATGTCATTCCTAAGCTCATCTAGCTAAGAAATTGTAGTCAGTTTCAAGAGTAGAGGTATCAGAACTTGAAAAGACTATTCACTTATTCTTAGAATCCCAAAGTAGCATTAGTGTTACTTTTAAGTGATGTCTGTACCTTATGGTCACCAGAGCCTATGGAGACAAAATCCCTGGAGAAAATTTACTACCAAAAAGACCAAATATTACACTCTGCAAATGTGAATCTAGCAATAGAAACTTGTTGAGCTTATTTTCTTAAATATACAGCAGAAGAATGAATATTTGTCTCAAGTATATGAACTAATATTGTCATATGTGACAGAACTAATAAATTAGGTGGAATGTATTTGGAAAATATAGAAAATTAAAAATTTTTCTTAAAAGTGGCCCTCCCTGGGGCCCTCCCTGGTGGCGCAGCGGGTTAAAGCACAGCACTGAGAATCTAAAGCCGCTTCCGCATGAGTTCGATTCCCGCCTGCCCCGGAGGAGACCTCATGGCGGCAGACCTCTCCTGACCCGCCCGCTGCTCGCTGCTCCCCTCAGCAGTGTACTTTGTCGATCTGCCTGTTCTGTTCCCCACTCTGTCTCTGGTGAAGCCTCTCGCCGCCCCTGAGCCTCTGACCTGCACCCCAGTTCTGTATGCACAAATAAATAAATCTTAAAAAAAAAAAAAGTGGCCCTCCCTGGTGGCGCAGCGGGTTAAAGCACAGCACTAAGAATCTAAGGCCACTTCCGCATGAGTTCGATCCCCACCTGCCCCGGAGGGACCCACATGGCGTGGCAGACCTCTCCTGACCCACCTGCTGCTCCCCTCAGCAGTGTACTTCAAAGATATGCCTGTTCTGCACCCCACTGTCTCTGGTAAATCCTCTCACCACCCCTGCGCCTCTTGTCTGTACCCCAGTTCTGTATGAACAAACAAATCTTTAAAAAAAAATTTTTTTTTCTTAAAAGAACCCACATGCATGCCACTGTTTTCTGTTAGTGTAAATCTTAATGTATTATTTTTAGATGACAGAATGAGGTGTAATCCTTAAATAAAACTCATTTAAAGCAATAAAATATAGATCTTCTTACAAAGACTTCTAACTCTATATGTCTTTCATGTAAGCATTTTTCTCATTTTGTAAGTGACAGAAAATGATTTGAGACTTTCTTTTTCCTGTGTTAGGTAGGAATTCTATTTAATCATAAACTAAATACAACAAACTAGTTCCTATCCTAATAATTTTGTCTAGGTAAATATATTTTTTATCTGATAATTATTGTATGTTCCCTCTTAATGGAAAAAAAAACTGAAAATTACTAAATATTCAAAGTGATATTTATGGTCTGCAAAGAACTGCTTTCTTTATTGTTCTTAAAGCAGTGCAAAATAACTAATCATGTAAATACTGGTAAAATACCTGGTAGGTATAGCCAATGAATGCGTAGTATGGGTGGGTGGGTCTAAAGAATAGACAGAGCTAGGATTGAAATTCTAAAAACCAGTTTGCATCAGGTGTATTAATTCCTTTAATGCCAGTGCTTGTCAGCCTTCTTAAAGGAAAACTATTAAGCGAATATAGAAATGAGAATATTAAGCACATCTTTGCCCCTTTGCAAAAATCTGTTTACTTGGTAGCAATTCTGTTATTCATTTCACCACGGTTGAATTGAATCACATTTTGCAAAGTGTAATTCTTATCTTGGGTTATCATACAAAGTTTGAGACTGGCCCACTAATTTTTAAAAGACTACATTTAACTCATTCTTGCAAAATCATTTTAACTTCAAGTCGACTTAGGCGTAATGGTAGTCCCTCTTTTCAGTGTGTTGAGAATCATTCATTACTTAATTAGGTTGAAAATAGAACAGAATGACACCATGGATTGAAGTTGTTTAACTGTGTGAATTAGTGAGGAGACCCAAAGTAGAGAAAAAGAGAGGTTCCTTTAATATTGTGGGTGCTGCCACCCTGTGGTGAAGTGAAAGTTGTGCTATAAATCCTTACTCTTGGCCTCATAGATAAGTAATTTCCTCCTCGCCTTATTTTACATTACCTGAGCAAGACCTCCAAGAGCAAGCCAACCATGTTGCTGTCTGTTTAGGGATTTAGTGATTTATTCCAATCCTGCACGAATAACTGGTTGAGTTATACTTCTTCAGAGCCGGTCTATCTCAGGCCCCAACCAGCTACCTCCTATGAAGTTTGGAAGGGTGATTTTTGCTGAACCGTCTTTTGCATTTGTCCAGACTTAAGAATCTTGGCATTCCTGCTTTCTGTCCCAGAGTGAGATGCCAGGCCACTGAATATACTGGCCTGGAATTGAAATAAACTTAAGAGGAGTAGGTGACACGAAGCATTTGTTCTTTATTCATCTTTGCTCTTAGAAAGGAAGAGTCTGTATGTTGAGCTAATGACTACCTCGTGTTCTCCCCTTACCCCCTCTCCCCTCCTTCCGCTGACTCTGAATCACTGACTGTGCATGTTTGACCCAGTGTTTTCCTCCTGCTCCTGTCCTGTTGTATATCCTCAGATTTATAAGGAACAGCTCAACACCAGGGTGGTCCTCGTAGCTGTAGAGACCTGGACGGAGAAGGATCACATCGACATCACCACCAACCCGGTGCAGATGCTCCATGATTTCTCCAAATACCGGCAGCGTATCAAACAGCACGCTGACGCTGTGCACCTCATCACGTATGTACTCGTGAGCTTCAGCCGGACCCTTTTTTTTTTTTTAAAAAGATTTATTTATTTATGCTTACAGGTATACAGGCCAGAGGTGTGGTGGGTGAGAGGATTCATCAGAAACAGTGGTGAACAGAACAGGGAGGTCTACTGAAATACACTGCTGAGGGGAGCAGTGGGCGGGTCAGGAGAGGTCTGCTGGGCAGGTGTGGGTCAGCTCCCTGGCTGGGGGATGGAACTCTTGCTGCGGTGGGTTCGGAGAGCTTCATAGTGTGGTGCTTTCACCAGAGAAAGCCCGGGGCCTTTTTTTAGCATTATCTTTGCAGTCTAGTCATATATGGCATGCCGATCTTGAATAAGATTAATGTAGACTCTCTCAGTCATGTAGAATTTCTAGGAAGCACAGAGGTCAGTTGTCCCTAGCTGGAATGGTGTTCCCGCCATCCATGAAGGTTGTCATGAGTTCTACCTTTAGAGCATTCCTACCTTCAGACTTTCCATCCTCAAGATCAACTCCGAATGCAAGATGGCTGCTTATGCGCTAGTCTCTGTATGAAGAACAGAAATGACAGTGCAGACTGGCATCACTTCTGCCTGAGTTAGCGCCTTGAAAGCAAATTTCCTGAAAGTTTGAATGCATCGCTTTAACCAGCAAGTCATTTACTAAATTTTAGTCAGAGGGCCACCGTTAGTTGCAAGAGACGCAAGGAGTTAGCGTCTTTTAAGTTGAAACATTAAATAAAAGGAGGATTTTTACCACGAAGGAAAGGATACTTCCTTTTAATGGAAGTCTTTCCTTTCCCCATTGCTTTCACAGAGTTCTGTACTCATATCCAACAAATATCCTCCTTCCTTTTCCTTTTATTCTTTTTTTTTTACTTGCCAGTTTTTAATCGACAGTTTATACTAGCAATATTTTCTATAACTACCTGATATTTTCTACTAGAAAAAAAAAGTTAAGGACTGTAATTTGTTGATTTTTATGTCCTCAATCCTGGGTCAGTACAGGATGCTTAGTCGGGGCTCAACCAAGATACTTTAACATAGTGTAAATTCATGGACATTTGTGATAACATAAATTGAATAACATAAGTGTACAGGTATTTAAAATACAATTTTTTTTTTTAAGTTTTGGGAAGGGGGATGAGTTTGAGATATTCAAGGTAGAAAAAAGACATATTTGGGGAGAGTTTATGTGATGGCCACAACATTGATTTCCAAACAGCCTATTTTTTTCTCAAGGCGTATGACATTCCACTATAAAAGAAGCAGCCTGAGCTACTTTGGAGGTGTCTGTTCTCGCACAAGGGGAGTTGGTGTGAATGAGGTAAATTTTATCAATTTTCTTAAAGTAGAGCTTTGTCTTCGCATCTGACCTCTTCTTCCCTGTGGCCCAGTTTAAATCCCTTCTCAGGCTTGTTAGAATGATAATGACATCAAAAAGGTCATGTGAGGGGCATATATTGGTAAACTAAAATGGCCTTTGTTGTTAAAAACAAGTATTGTTTAACTTCATGATGATAGTCTTTCAATGTGTGGGGCAAATGCAAACCAAAGATTAGCCCAGAGATTTATTTTTAGCCTCCATAAGTTTCTGTAAACTTATGAATCCTTCCCATAGAACACTTTTAAAGTTATATAACTCTCCTGCCCATAGTTAAATTCATGTTTATGATTCTATCTAGTGTCTTTATTTTCACCACATATAAGGTCTTCATCTTTGTGCCTTCTACCACCTATCTGTAGAACTGATTGAAATGAATAATTCCTTAATCTCATTGTTTGGATTTTGATAACTTCATTTTTATAAAGGAAATTCTTATAACAGTTGGCAACAGTACCCAGAAACCTGGACCAACTATATCTAGACCCTGGTGAATGCCAGAATATGTTCTACCAGGTTATCCCACTAAAGTCATCATTCAATGGTTACCTCTCATGACATCTTTGTGGTAATTTGTACTATTCTTGGTGTACTATGAATGAGTTGAGTTGGGTGCCACCCTAGGACATGTACTTTATGATTCCATGTGAGAGCATCAAGTTGTGAGAGGTGCCACGTAGTAAGAGAGGCTTTCTGCTTCTTGGGCCCAATTGCCAGGGAGAAGTGGTAGAGAGCAAATGTCATCTTTAGATGCTGGGAGGCTCTACTTAGGAAGCTGAGATGATATGTGGTAACGATTAAGAAATAATAACTAGCTTTGTGCACTCTCTCAAATGTCTCCCACACACTTTCAACTCTGAAAAACAGTATGGTCTTCCAATGGCAGTGGCACAAGTATTATCGCAGAGCCTGGCTCAAAACCTTGGAATCCAATGGGAACCTTCTAGCAGAAAGCCAAGTATGTACATTGACCTTCTTGCTCACGTTCATGTGCCATTCTGTCTGTATGATGCATGTCCAGTCAATAAGTGAATATTTTTCATTCTGACGATGTCATGATGCTTTCATTAGTATAGTTCCTTCCTCTAAATATGAGAACTGAAGGTGATTCCTGATTTATTTGAGTTGTAGAGATGTTCCTGTTAAAGTCCATACAAATCATATTCCCTTTCTCAGATTGTGATTAACTTTTGCTCACACTACAGAATGGTGGGGTTTTAGGTGGTGACATCTTTTCCACTCAGGTTCTAAGCAGTGGAATATAGACACAAGACGCCAGGTGAGACAGCATCGCAAGCTTACTAACAGTGCAGCTGGAGCCAAAAGGAGCTCATGCTCTAAATTTACCTCCTTCCTTAGTTCTAAACGTACCACTGGTCCTATCACAAGAGTTTAGAGTGGTCTTCCCTGAGGCAGGCCCTGGCCAGAACCTCATAAGCAGGGGCAGGTGACAGCCGATTGCCCTTGACTCTAGAGGACAAGCAGGTGCAGGCAGGAGCACAGATAGAGCAATAGATCACACGCAGTCGGGAGTTGCCCCACTGGCTGTTGGGTGCCACTCCTTGTCAGTCAGGCGAGAGCAGATGGAAAGAGGACTGATTTTCATTGCCCCACACTAGTTCGGGGCGGCAGGGGGTGAAGGGGGTTTGTCCATGAACATTTCCACTTTATTTTAAAATTGGAATAAAATCCAACCTGAATTATATTCCCTTTATTCCAACACAATGCTAAAATTTAATCTATAAGGCTTTTGGGGAGGCAAAAGTGCCCAGGACCCACAGAAGCCTTAATGCGATCCTACTGATGGAAAGAGTGAGCTATTTACTACTGATAACATTGTTCCCTTAACCAGGAAATTAAGTGGGATTCTGCTCCTCTCTGAACATTCAGATACTAGGAGTAAAGGTTGTCATCCTCAAGAAGAAAAGGACAAAATCTGCCTACATTTTAACTGCTGTCAAATAGTTATCATTAATTCTTGATATTATGGAAACTTGAAACAGAATACAGGTCCAGAAGCTTCTCGATTCCCCTTTTGGGTATATTCAGTCATATATAAGGGTATAGTAAGTCCTATGCAGATAGCAAATCCCCACAGACTGCCATTTATCAATGTCATGATATAATATAATGCTCAGAGTGAGGCTTTCCCAAGGATGCGCACATCATACATTGAAGGAGATGTTTTGGGGTTCCCCGCTGGCATAGATGCCTTCAACATCAGAGGAGAAGATCAGGTTAATGACTTTGAAAACTATGGAGCTGGGAAGAGCTCCTGCTGGTGTCAGCTGAGAGATGTGCTGGGTTGATGATGGACTAGTCTGAGAAGAGGTTGTAGTTCCTTCTTTCCTGAAACTCTGTTCTCTTCTGAGGTGTTTGTCTAGGTAAACAGTACCTTACTGCCGAGCTTTTGAGTTTAAAAAAAAATTCATTTGGAAGTCTGTTTTTAAAATACTTTTTAAATCAATGGTAGAAAAGAGAGTAAGAAGAAAATAAATGAGAACAGCCTGTGATGACACTAGTATGTCTCCAGAATCTATGTCAAGTTTGTGGTCGTTGTATAATTTCAGCTCACGCTACACTTCCGACTTGACCACTCTCCTCCATCCAGTTAGTAGCACAGAGCTCTCCGAGTCTTTGGCCGACCCTGTTCTCACTAGCAAATTGAATTCTCTCCTCTAACCAAGAATGTGTTGTGTGAGGACCATGGCCGTTGTGCAATACAACTTTACATTTCCAGAGAGCACAGAGCAGACCACATTTTGTGAGCGTAACAGACCGCTGGGAGAAAGGCAGAGGTGTGCAGTTCCCATTTTAGAGGTGGAACACTGAGGCACCCAAAATGCTAAGTCCCTTGCCTGTGGGACTTTCTTGTTAGGTAGAACTTGGGCTTTCTGATTCTAGATCATGAAATAGTGCAACTGAGTTCTTAACTGAGTTCATTTGGTTTCAGAAATGAAGGGAGTCACAGTTTTATTTCTTGCTGTTGCCTTCAGACAGAATGAAGAAATATAGATGTAAAAGAATTAAATGTTTTTCAGTGAGATTTAATATTTGGTTTCTGCCTGACTTGAAATGGGTAATAAGGAATCATTTCAAAAGCTGTGATATAACTTTTATCTTCCTTTCTTCTGTTTTTTTTTTTTCTTTTCTTTCTTTTTAATTGTTTCATTGGACTAGAATGTGACTGCACAGAATCCTGGGGTGGCTGCATCATGGAGGAAACAGGGTAAATGTTCATTATACATGTATTTGACATACACCTTTTGGGGAGATTGTTTCTATTGTAATAGATACAAAGTCTCTCAGGTATTGACTGGTCTTTTAGGCTAGGCACTTAGTATAAGTTCAATAATTAATTACCTGATATTTTTAAAATGAAAGGACTAATACACTGTTAATTTTTTATTTAAAGTTAGTGACAAGACTAACATATAATAACTACTTCTATTTCTATTAACCCTAAGGGAAGCACATTATTAAGTGCTTCTAAGTTTAGTAGAGGCATTAATTTTTTAGTACACTTAGAATAAAAGCTGGTTGTCTACCTGAAGCATTCAGTGAAAATCAATTTAGTGCACAATTTATATTTTAAGGTAATAGTAAATAGACATGTTTACTGTAATAAAATTATACTATACTGCTTAAAACATCAGTAAAGCTTTTTTTATTAAGACAGATTTATTGTATCTAAATTAGGTCGTCTCTTACTGGTAAACTTTTGAATACCTTTGTCCTCATCTAGCTCTTCTCTTCTTTCTGGAGACTTCAGGAATCAGAGCAGCTAGCCCTGAGCTTTGTTGCTTCTGTAATCCAAGACCTAGAAACACTGTCCTCTTGCCCATGACCCTTGCCCCATACGAACTCCTCCCCCAATGCCCCAGCCAGTTCATGGCAACGGCTGCCCACCATGCTGTCTTCATCCACACCAGCCATCTTGTCAGCTCCGCTTACCAGAAAGTGATCTGCTTGCACAGTTCCTTCCTTCCTTCTCTAGCAGGAGTCTAGTTCACGGAGAAAAAAGTAGGAGGAGTCAGTCTTTCCATATACTATTTCAGAACACGAGCTTCTAAAAATGTAGTTTCAACTTGAAATTGTTAACTTTCAGGTCTCCTTACTATTGTACCATAGTTTAGTGACATTACGACTTGAACAGGCTTTTTTGAGGACTCCTCTAGGCAGGTTGCACTTTTTGTAATCTAGATTCTATAAGGAAATGTCTTCTGTCTTCTAAACCAATTTCTAAATGATGTTTTGCGCTAGTTACCCATAGGATATCATAAAACTGAAGTCAATATGTGTTTTCTCAAGGACACATTTCTACATAGTTCTGATAGTGCCCACAATGGCAGTGTTTATCTATTTCCTTATACTACCTTGTACATCAGGACACACACAGCTATTAGATTACATGCTAGAATAAAAAGGCTGTCACTCTCAAATCAAGTACTGTCACAACTAGGGCCAAGCAATCAGTGTGTGTACTTCAGACCTGACCATGTGTATTTTGTCCCCTCACACAGGTAATTTGATTAATTAAATCACAAAGAGACTCTTACTATATGCCTATTAAATCATAATGTCACCGAAGAGTCATTGAAGTTAAGACTTCCCTAGTGAGTTTGCCCTAATTCTGCTTTTGCTGGATTCTGTCTTGCTAAGAATATATTCATCTATGTGGCCTAGCCCATGTTTTTAGAGCTTCCTTGTTTACTTGGATCGCATGGCTGAAGCCTGCCTTGTATAATCTTTGATACATGGAGCTTCAGAAACTGAACTCTCATAGATTCTCAAGCTCCTTTTATTCAGGATGCAGGCAAAAGTGCTTGCATTTACTGAGACACAGAAATACAAATGACCACATTTTAAAAGACAACCTTGATGAAGAAATTTGTAAGGAGTTTTTCAGAGCCTATTTTAAGCTTGGGTTCAAAAGGGCTTCACTGCTGAGGAGCTTGCAACTAGCTCCCCAATCTGTGGTTTTCTTTGAATTTCTATTTTTACCGAACTCTACCACACATTTTCATTTGGCAATTTGAACGTAAGTGCCTTGTCAAACTTTGTGTAGAATCATCTGGATTCAGAGTGAACATTTTGTTCTAACTCAAGGGTTTTAATTTTCTTCTCTGATGACTGCTTTTGGTAAATTACTTACATAATTGATTCTTTATTTCTTCAGGGTATCCCATTCCCGAAAGTTCTCAAAGTGCAGCATTTTGGAATACAGAGATTTTTTACAGAGAGGGGGTGGAGCTTGTCTTTTCAATAGGCCAACAAAGGTTAGTAACTCAGAAAGTATAATTATTTATCCTCCCCCTCCCTTTTTTTTGAATACTGTAACAGTGCCAGATGGTTTTGGCGCAGGTTTATTGTCAATATATTAATGTTTCATTTCAAAAGTCTTTATCATGTGAAAACTGAGTCTTGTTGAAATGAATGAAAGAAACAAGCATGATTTCTCTGTTCTGAGTCTCTGTTTTTTCAGTAATTGTACATATTACCATTCTTTCAGTTAAAATGTTTTTAAATTTTCATGTTGGAGTGTTCCCCTGCTGATAAGAGATAATGGGTTATTACAATGTAGTACTTTAACCATTTCTTAGACAAGTTTTGTTTGCCTTGGATGTTTTTTCTAGAGGTATAACTAATTTCTTGGCTTCTGTATATTTCATTTTGAGTCTGTTCTCCCAAAAAAGAAGCCTTGCTAATACCGCCTAGCCATACTATGGCTTAAGGTATTATGGACACCATAAATACATACTTGCATTTATATTCTGTAATCTCTTTATCTGGAAGGTCATACTGTCTATTGACATAATATCAGAATTCATGTACACAATGTAACACTCTTTATTCATGGTTCCTTCATTCAAAAAACTATGAAAATGGGAAGTGTATTTTATGAGTTTGTTGAAGATACAAACATGTCCTAAAATTGAAAATCAGTATTTATTCCTCATAATGTAAATATTTGCCTTACTATAGAAACATTAATGTGTTTGACTGTACGATATATACCAGTCCCGTCAGGGCTATTACAGAAAGTAGTCAGTCTGTCCTCTATTTCTAAAAACCATTTTCCTCAACCTCACTTTTGGATAAGGCTTTGCAAACCTACGTAACATGTTTGGAAATGAAGTTGCTTAGCAGAAAAGAAAAAGACAAGATCAGGGCTAATTAGCAAATGGCATAAAAATTCAAACATTGCACATATCATGTATCCTTTTAAAATAAAAGTCGATTATAAGTCAAATGTAGTCCATTGGTACACACAGGATGTAAAATGCTCTGCAAATTAATAGAACTGTGAGTAAAATGTTAGCTTTTTAAAAACAAAAACTGACTAATGTAGGTAACTGATAGCAACTTTTATTCCTCTCCTCATAATTCAGTGATACCGCTGTGGTCAGAGAGTTGTAGTTTAATGCTTGACATCTGTGTAAAATCTCAGTAAGGTTGCAGAAAAATAAACAGTATTTTAAAGTGATCTTGCATCATTTATACTGGGCTGCCTGGCTGCTTTTCATGGAGTTGATCTCAATGCAGTAAAAATCTGAAAACTTCAGAGTGCTTAAAATGGGGGAAATGAGTAATAATGAAGTCATGTGAGCTGCTGGCATTTTTTGAATTATAATGTATGTGGCTAATTTTACCTGCCTTCCAGCTCACCAGCTAATTATAAGCATTACGCCTGAGGGAACAGCACAGAGCTGTTCGGAAAGGTTAAGATTTCTAGCATGTGTTTTTAAGGATTCATCCCTAGATTTCCAAAATTGCCTATGAGTAGAAATAAAATTATTCTAATATCTTGGAAGCTAAGTAAAAATAACTATACATCCATTTTGAAAGTTGGTAAATATGAAATTATTGCTCTTTAAACTGCATGTTATAATGATTTTTGAAAGCCCCTGGACTTAGTAAAATTTTATATGTTTTGCTGAACTTTTGTTTCAAGTGTTTTTGGTGACTGAATGAATGGATGTGTGTCTTTCTCTTTTCTATGTACATCTTTTCTCTGCTGTGGGAGCCGCTACGCTGTTTTTCATTTGGTTTTGTGAGAGTGACATGTCCCATGGTGGGAAAAATCCAAAGTGTGGAAATAGTTAATTACATGGAGAGTCTTGTCCATTCTGCCTTCCCCCTTTCTCAGCAGATATTAGGACTGTGGATTTCACTCACTGAGCTTTTCCATGGGAGTCCCACCCCGCTATTTGGAAACATTCCTTTCTTCTTCTAACAGTCTTCCCCTTCTGAGAGGGCAAGGAGGATCAGGTCTTTTTGAGGTGGATTCAGGGAAAGGTGCCCTTCCTTGGCCATGTGCTTGCTGGGAGGGCATCTCCTCCTTCTCTGAGCACTGGGAGTGGGTGGAGCTGTGCCATCCTTCACCCAGATGTGGTGGGCAAGGAAGTCTGGCCCTAGATAATGGGATAGAGAAATGTTTCTTATAAATTATTATGAGAACAGTTAGTACAATTATTCTGCTATATAGTTTATCTAATAGGCAAGCTCAAAGCACCAGCAGTGTGGATCATTCTAGAAATCTGACTCTTCCATTGCTCCAGGTATGATTGAACAGTTTTTCTACATCTGTGTATGCATATTTGCTTCACAGGCTTTTAGTGAGAAGTGTGGACAGTGTGGATTTCTTTCAGTAAAATGATGGACATGAATCTCCAGCAATTTTTCCTAAATGTACTTGCATTTGCTTGATTGCATATATCACTTTTGGTGGAGACTGGAACATTTTTATATTGTTGACAGTTTTTATGTCTTCTCAGCTGCTGAGGGAAGTCAGCAAATTAGGTATCCCTCTGAATGTTATTACCAATGTATTTTAGCTCCATTAGTGAATATGAAAAGTGATATATTCCTCTTGACAACTTATCTTCAGAAAAAGTAACTCAAGAGTAGAAGTCCTCTATGGAGCACACCACCAGGGGATCCTCTGAGGGATATTGCCCCTTACAAAGTTTGCTTTTTAGAAGTGTTATAAACAGGTGACACGGGGCCCACTCTGACATCACTTATAACAACAAAGCACAGAAGAGTTAGAGTAGCTGAACACAGGGCCATGTATGAGGCCTAATTGCTCTGTAGCTTTTCTGATATTAAAACATTTTTCCTTTCTCACCCAAATTTCTTTCAGCTATTTGAGCCGACAGAATGTGGAAATGGATATGTAGAAGCTGGAGAAGAATGTGACTGTGGTTTCCACGTGGTAGGTATAAGGTCTTTTCTGTCTGCTGCACAGCTCCTGCTAAGAGCCAACCAGGTGGTTTTATTGAGATGCCTGTGTGATCATCATTGAAGTCTTACTGCCTTTCTTTCTGATTGTTGTCATTAATGCTTAATCCCAACTCAAACATGTGAGAATCAATCATGTCTTATAGCCCTGTTTGAAAAAAATCTAATGAATTCCTTTAATCAAATTCCCTACTTGTTAAAAATTCATAGCTCATATTCATCTCAGACAAGTTTTACCAAATCATGAAAGTCTTTCTACTTTTGTCTCATAAAACTAGATGGAATATTAAGAATATAATAGAGCTAACCAAGGGTAGGTGTCTGCTAAGAAATAAACTTACTTTTTTGATAGAGAAGCCTTTTCATAGAAAATGATAATTTCCTACAAATATGCAGGAAGGGAGCTATCTTTTTTTTTTTTTTTAAGATTTGTTTTATTTATTTATGCATACAAGAGCTGGGGTGTAGGCCAGAGGTATGGTGTTGGGGGTTTGTGTGAGAGGTTTCACCAGAGACAGGGTGGGGAGCAGAATAGACAGAACATTGAAATACACTGCTGAAGGGAGCAGCAGGCCAGGAGGAGAGATCTGCTGAGCCATGTGGGCCAGCTCCCTGGGGAGGCTCAAACTAGAGCTTCAGTGGCCCCTGACAGCTCTGTAGTACTGAGACTTAACCCCTTGTGCACCAGCAAGGCCCCCATCATTGTTTTAAGTGATGAATGTGCTCATGAAATATTTGCTTTTTGTTGTGTAAATCTGATCTGTGTTCAGCGTAGTCACTTGTGGAGACAGTGTTGGATGGCCAGTGGGCGATTTTCTGCACTTACTCACTGGCAATGTGTTCTCTAGGAATGCTATGGCTTGTGCTGTAAGAAATGTTCTCTCTCCAACGGAGCCCACTGCAGTGATGGGCCCTGCTGCAACAATACTTCGTGTCTCGTGAGTTTCCTGACAGTTTCATCTGTCTCTTCACTTATATACCAGCCACATATCTCAAAGCATGCATTGGCCATTGGTGTAGATTGTCACAAACTTGTTGGTTGAGAGTATACATAGTAAATCTACCCAGATCCTGTGGGTCACATCATTTACTTTTGCTCTCATTCACTATCAACTACCCTATGCTCCAGTGCCTCCTTGAGAAAAATGTATCTGTCCTCCTTCCAAAGTAAATACTGAGATTTGCCCTACTCACAAGATATATGAAAACTAGATTAAATGATTGAATAGAAGAGGGACAACTCATGTGGTCTTTTTAATAAGATGCCCTAAATCTAACACTTCTTATTTAAAATGTACTTCAGTTTGTTTTAGTGGAGCATAAAAGCTGGTGCCCATATTTTCACATTTGGCTTTTAAAATTACTTAAGGCAAGAAAACTAGATCAGGAAGTAATGAATGTAAATATGTCTATAAAGAGCACTTGTATGTATATGGACAGATAATGAATTTCATTTATAGAGACTTCAGCTAATTTCTGAAATCTGAACTTGATGCCATGGTTGGTTCGTTATACCACAAAGAGTGGTATCTGGAACTTGTCTCTATTTTGCAATTATCTTGCTAAATCATGAAAGAGTTTGGTGATCATTATAAGAGATTGTAAGGATTGTTGGTGAATATAAAGAATGCTAACTCTCTGAAATTTAATACTAGCTCCTAATAGTGAACTTTAATTTGCAGTTTCAGCCACGAGGGTATGAATGTCGGGATGCTGTGAATGGGTGTGATATTACTGAATATTGTACTGGAGACTCTGGCCAGGTAAAAAAAACTGAATTTTAGGTAATACATCTTACTTGTAACTACACATTTTAAATCTTTTAATTTGGACTACATCTGTAGATATGCTTTGGTTCCTTTATTTTTTGTTTTTATCTTATTTTGTTTTCTAGTAATTCCTAGTTCTTCATCATGCCTTTATTTTAGGAATATATGTTGCATTTTTTGGATCTTAGTATCTTTTTCTTCCAGTTTCCCCTTTACAATTAGTTCTCTTTATGTGGTTTGTACCAAATGAATTGATTTCTCCCCGCTTGTCCCCACATTCAAAATAGTATGTTCACAATGATGAAGCACTACTTACTATTTCAAACATCATAAGCCAAAAAACCCTTTCTTTTGAGGAAAATGTGCCCAGTGCAGGCAGCAGAGAACGAGTAACCTTGCTCTGTGCAGGTGGCACTGGGAATAGAAGTCCAGCTGTCTCAGCTCTGTCACCAAATCTCCCCTATTCATATAACCTGTCTTCATGGCTTATTCTCTTTGGCATGGTTCTCTGCATATTAAAATTTTATACCATCATGATTAATGTTGTCTATTAGCATTTCTTTTATAGCTAATTTTTATTTTTTAAAAGATGTCTATCATGTTATTTCAAATCTTTGTCACTCAAATGAACACTTTGGCATGTACAGTGAGCCGAGCACTACAGTAAATGCTGGGGTTTGTTGGGAACCGGGTGGGCACACCATTGCTCTTAGGGAGTGTACATTCTACTGGGTGGAGAAAGGTAAATCAATGAGCACCAATGTCAGATGGTGCTAAGTCCTAAGCACAAAGTAGTTGATTTAAAAAGAGTGATGGTTCGGGAGGTTTGGGAGGGCAATCAGGTATGTCTTCCTGGAAGAGGTTGCATTCAAGTAAAAACATAAATGAGAAGAGACAGTGAGAAAACAGTGAGCATAGAAGTTTAACCTCTTTAAGAAATGCGGTGAAAACTTGAAATAGCTGGAGAATAATTGAAAAGTTTCAAAGAAGAGGTCAGTAATTTGGCAACTTAGGACTTAGTAAGAATTTTGGATTTTATTCTATCATCATTTTGTTCTGTCTGAATGTTTGAAAGCATTTTCCCATATGATTACACAGTTTTTATAAATGTCCATTTTATGATTGCATAGGGTCTATCACATGGATTTATCTGTTGATGTCCATCCAGTGGTAGATATTTAGGAAGTTGGCTTTTTTCATTATTAAAATTAATATGACACATAGTATGTGTATATATTTTAAGGATATTTCTTGTGCACCACTAGTTCTTTAGGATAAGTTCCCAGAGGTGGAATTCTCTATTGCCAGGCATCATGGTGTCCAGGGAACTCATAACAGGGTACAGCTGGAGACTAAAATGTAATTTTTATTATTGAAAATGGATGTTGAAAGCTATACTTCAGTGTCATCGCTAAGTGGGTCTCTAAATAGATCTGAGATTCTGACTGTAGCAACAACTTCTTGACAACATTGTGCCTGGAATGAGTGGGGTTTAATCTGTATGAATAGATAATAGTAGATGGTGGTGGTGAGAGCGCAATAGTAACAACTCCTGAAGAGGAATCCTATGCTCTCAGTGCAAACAAATATTAACTCAATAAAAAATATTCAAAATAAGTAAATAAAAGTAGAATGGCAGAATGAGCCAAAGTGACCAATTGCTCTTCCCAAGTTTATCAGTCAATCAAATCAACCAACTGGTCACTCTAGCTCCCTGAGGAGGAAGTGAATAAAGAAGCAGAGAGTAGCTGGGATTTGGTAGAATACTATTTTTCATACCCACAGTAGTGGTATTTGGTTCTCTGGATTCAGCTCTTTTAGTAGTATTGTTTTTCCACCTCAGCCTGCAGCTCTGGAATTGCTATAGAATTTATTGGAAATAAGCCTTTTATAGTGAAGGTTCAACTTAATATTCTGTTGTCTTATTTTTAAAAACTTTATTATCTCATGTGACCATGATGAGAATTATTCTATTAAATTAGTTTCTCAGTGGCATATTAGAATAGTATGTTCTAAAGAACATACTAAATCATCAGTAAACTGATGATTTCCTTCATATTGCTTTAATGCAACTGAAATAGATAATTGGAACAGAGAGAATGACACTCCCTCTAAAGTTGTCGGCTTTGTATGCAAGAGTGGAATTTGAATATAATTGATGCTAATAATGATAAAGAAAATGGTGTGTCTGAAAAATTTCTGCATCTCTGAAAAGCAATACTTACAGCCAATATTATGACTTCATCTCTTTTATTTCATAGTATATTTCTGCTTAAGCTTGAGCTTAGCATTTACTGATGCCTCTTGAGCTACTTTTAAAATTCACAATTTGTAACAGAATAAATAATACTTAAGCATCTGAGAAAAAATCTTTAGCAACAATACTGGATGGTATGATAAAGATATTTTTGAAAGATGTGGGACATGCTTTTTGTTAGCACTATGAAATATGTCATCTATATGGGTGGTGTAACACAACTTAAAATAAGCACATTTAAATGCTATTGCACTGTAGAAAGCTGCCTCACAGAACCTTTCTGTAGGGCATAAAACTGAGGTCTGGAATGGTATTTAGAGACTAACCCCAGAGTCCTACCCACAAGCAAAATAAAGCGCAGAATAAATGTCTCCCAAGAATGTAAGATATTCCATAATTTCTTTGGTTAAACTTTTCAGCCATAAGCAACTGGCTTTTATTAGTCTAAACTAAAAATAAACTGATTAGAAATCTTGCATGTGGCTATGACAGTTTATAATAAGGGTGTTTTATTGTTGTTTTTTCACTAGTGAAGAATTCTGTAGGTTTTTTCCTATTGAAACATCACAGGGTTAATTTTAGACCCCAACTTGCCTTTTCTAGTAGAAACATTTCTTCTGTATAATTTTGTTCAATGTGGCTGTATTTGTCTGGGGGTAAGTGAATAATTAATGTGAGATGATTAATAAGATAGTGATTGTGTTCTGAGTATATTCTGATGGATGAAAGAGGCCACACAGGTCCCTTTAAGTTCTGGTACAACTGGCTTCGCGTGCTATGGCTTCGCGTGCTAAGTTTAGTGCTGATAATGGCAATCCTTTGCATAGTTACTCTCAGGTTAAATGCAAAGCTAACACAATTGAAAGCTCATATGAGGGTTATTCTTTAGAAAGTGCTGGAACAAAGCACTTTATCTCAAAGTATTTCTTAGTAAGTTGCTGCTTCTTAGCAACTCCACATTCATTCTATTATTTTTCTGTACTGAACTTGGTAAACAAGCTTGATACATGTAGACTCAAATAACTGAATTGTATCTCTGTGGGTCATTCATTTATTTTCTAAGTCGGCCAAAAGTGATTACGTACCTACTCAGTAATAATTGAGCCTAGTTTTGTTCTAGATGGCGGGAAGCAGCAGGGGACCAAACATAAAATCCCTGCCTGCATCCCATTATGACGGGCACACATGACAGACAAGTAAAAGACAGGAAGCATCAGTTGGTGGGCATTTGGGGGAGCTAGGATGCCAGCATGGGAGGGGGCCCCAGTTTTGGACATGGTTAGAGGGGGCTTTTTGAGATGCTGCTATTTGAACAAAACCCTAAAGAAGGGTTTTGAAGGAGCAAGTGACATAGAAAATCTGGGGAGAAATCGAAGGAAGAGCATCTGGCACATTTACCATCCAGATTCCTGGTTGGAAGCAGGAATGAGGTCCAGGTGGAGTGGCTGGACAGCAAAGCAGCTGTCTTGTTGAACTTACACATCAGGGAACAAGTTGGGAGCCACTCAACAAGGAGCGACATGATCTGGTTTACTCACGTAAGGGGCATTCTGGTAACGCTCGAGAGTAGGAGAGTAGGCTGGTGGCAGGGGATGGCTGGAAGCTGTTGTGTATGCCAGGTGAGAGAGGGTGTGGACTGGACTGGACATACCAGGGGGCATCGAGAAACGTGGTCAGAGCAGATTGTGATTGTGCTTTAAAGAGACCTAACAGGGTTTGTTTGCTGAGCAGAATGGGACAGAAATGATGACAGGACGACTAATGGAAGAATGGAATCGAGAGGGCCTTGGCCTGTACTTCTGTGTTTCTTACTCACTTGCCACACACCTGTGTAGTGTTTTTCTTTTTCTTGTTTGCTTTGAATATAAGTTCTCTGAAAAGTGGTAAATAAATGCATAAAGCGTAAAAGTTTTCATTTTTCAGGTTAATTCAAAGGGGGTGGGAATGAAGTGTACTTTAAGAAAATGATTTGACAAAGAGACTTGGAAAAAGAAGTAAACATCACATCACAATTGTCCTAGAAGCAGTCTGTAGTTTGCAAGGTCAGAATACAATGGAGCTGGGACACTGAGGCTGAGTTGGAAGGGGGGAGGCAGAGCGTTTCTCCCTTTGCAGTGAAGTCGCCTGTGGGGGAGCTTCATGGGTGTCAAATGCAAATTTGACATTTCACAGGGCTGTGCAAAGTTGGTAAATTAGTTCCTGAATGTGTCCACTCCTACATAACAAGCTGGTTCATTTCCTTCATTGTCCATTTTAATCCTTTCTACTTTTAACTCTGTAGGCAAGTAAATATAAGTTCTTATTTTAGTATACCTCATGGAAGTCAGAAACCTAAAAAACACCCACGGTATGGACCTTATTTATTTATTTTTACCCACACTAGGAGAATTAATTTGGATAACCTACTTAAGATATTTTTCTAGACACATTTGATTATATATTCACCAGCCTTGCATTTATTTGTTTGCCTTTTTATATATTATGTCCATATCCTGAAAGGATTAACATGCCAAACATGAACTAAAAAGATTGTATTTTTCAGTGCCCACCAAATCTTCATAAGCAAGACGGATATGCATGCAATCAAAACCAGGTATGCTGGGCTGTAAGTTTTGAATGTAATTTTAAAGGAATTAGTTTGTGAGTTTTTTGTCTTTTTTTTGATAGAGGTAACTTTGAAGGGAAATTGCAGTGCCAATAAGTCATTGCAGTAGACTTCTAATCCAGAGCTGTTTCATGTCATACCAAGTGTGAAATATATTACCTCCAGTGACAAACTGCACAGGTGGAGGTCAAGGAAAAAGTGTAGTGATAGCTAAAGAATTTCAGTAATTCCAGCCTGTCCATTATGGGAAAATATCACAATCTGTAACAATGTGTGGGCTTCCCCCCAACCCCCATGCTGTTCTAATCCTCCATCCTACACCAGTCAAATTAAAAATCATTTCAGTATCACCCAAAGAGGTCCCAGTTCTTATTTTCTGTAAAATTAAAAATTTATAAGATCATTAGTTTGGGTTTCAAGAGCTCTGTTCTGAGTTTTTGGTTTTAATTGCCTGTTAGGCTTCTCTTAAAATATTTGTGATTCCTATGGGTCCCTATGAAAATATCAATATTAAGGTATGGAATGAAAAAAAAAAATCCCTGAAACAACGGAAAGGAGGCCTTGCATTACAGGGCAACCAAGCGTGAATTGGGTTGTCTGTCTGTGGGTCTTCACCCTTACTCTTAGTTCAGCTGCACTACACAGACACAAAAAGGTTAATAATAGGTTTATTGACAAGGGAAAAAGAAAAGGAACAAGAGGTCTATTTACAAGGGAGAAAAGGGAAAGAGAGAGAGATACACATTAAACAATGTGTCCTACCAGTTCCGCTGATCTGGAACCCCAATAGCACGCTGAAAGGTGATGAAGAGCCAAGCGACTAACATGTCTGGCTTTATATCCAAAACCCCAAAACGGCTGCCAAACTCCGCCCTTGGGTTCCTGCAGTCTTCCATTTGGTGGCTGGGTTTCTGGTTTTGGTGTCTGGAGTAGGGGTAGAATCCACACATCCTGTATCTGTACAGTTCCTTCAGGACATCCTTTACCCCCTCATACTTGCAGTAAAAATTAGGGGGGGGCATGGACCTGGCTCGGGGGGCTCTTGATGTCTGTCTCTGTTCCCAGGGCCGCTGCTACAACGGGGAATGCAAGACCCGAGACAACCAGTGCCAGTACATCTGGGGAACAAGTAGGCCACACTCCGCCCCCCCCCCTTTCTCTTCCCATTGTTCTCTGCCAGTCTTGCCAAGAGAGATGGACACTTTGGAGGGGTGTTTCCAAAAAAAACCGGGAGTGGGTGAGAATAGAGAGGCTGTGAGTCTTGGTTACAAATAACACAGAAAGCGCAACTCAAGGTGGGGAATTGTCATGTGGGATCGTAGCTGTGAGAGAAAGGAATGTTCTTGCCATGCTCCATGTCAGTGGAGTGTGGGGGCCGTGTTTCGCATCCAGCCATTTGGTGACTGACCTTATACCTTGAATTCACGTTTACTCCCCTCCCCCTGGTTTCTTTTTATGTCCATTTACTCCCAGAAATGATCAGACTTAAGTATCAGACTTCCTTTTCAGTTGGTGATTTGCGATCTCAGTTTGAGGTAAAGAATGCAAGTCCTTCTGGAGTTGCAGGGAGAGGTTTCAGTACATGGGCTCGAGTCTCAGTTCTCTCCCTGTGTGGCTAGTCTCTTCCCGCTGTGCTGTGCCTTTCAGAGAAGGCCAGCTGGAAGAGAGAGAGATGGGTCTGCTTGCTGTGGCTGGGTGACCCAAGAACACTGTGGGAGTGATGTATTTGGCAAATATTTAACTGGGAGATTAATTTTACTTATTTATTTATACTAACTTTTTAATTTGCTTATATCGTTTTTGTACAGTGTTTGATTTCTCCCCTCGGGTGTAGTTCCCATAAACCTCCCACCAGCACATCACCTATGATCTGTCCCCATGGTCCTTGTGCCCTTCCTTCCCCTCTCTCTCCACTGCTGTCTGCCTCAAATCTTTGGTCAGCTTGCGAGCTTTGACTTTTTTTTTTTTTTTTTACATTGTGTTCGGTTTCCCTATGTTCCTCCTGTAAGGGATACCATCTTTTATCTTAGAATATTTATTAATTTTTTAAAGATTTATTTATGCATACAGAACTCAGGCACAGGCCATGGGTGCAGGGGTGGTGAGAGGATTCACCAGAGAGGGAGTGGGGAGCAGAATAGGCAGATTGAGAAATGTACTGCTAAGGGGAGCAGTGGGTGAGACAGGAGAGGTCTGCTGTGCCATGTGGGTCACTTCCATGGCTGGGATTGAACTCGCACTAAAGGGCTGCAACTAGCTTCATCGTGCTGTGCTTTAACCCACTGCATCACTAGGGAGGGCCCAGAATATTTATTTTTAAAGCTTCCATTTTGATAGAGGAAAGATAATGGAGGCCTATTTGTTATTTTCAAGGTTGATGTATCAAAACCCAAGTGCCAACATAAGACTTCAGCTGGCTAAAGACCATAGGATCAATCCTTATATAAATATGAAACAGCATTAGGAATATTGCTCATTCCTGCACCCCCCTTCACACTCCCTAATAAGAATTGGGGATACATTTATTTCTCAAATTTAAAAGTGTTATGCTATAGCACTGTATTAACTTGCAAGAGCCGAAGTTAAATTTTCAGTAAGTTTAGAAGCTAATTGACATCACATGGATAGTTTAAAATTAGCTGTGTATCATACCCTGGGAATTTACACCATGGAAATTGGAAAATGCTGTGAATCAGGATTTTTTTTTTTTCTGGAGAACCATTTATTAAACACTTTCACATTATTAGAGATAACAAAAGTACTAAAATTAATTTCCTTTTCTTGCTCATCTCCAAAAGAGGCTTCAGGGTCTGACAAGTTCTGTTATGAAAAGCTGAATACAGAAGGCACCGAAAAGGGAAACTGTGGGAAGGATGGAGACCGGTGGGTCCAGTGCAGCAAACAGTGAGTACTGCCTTGGTGCAGAAGGCATGCGTGGGAGCCCTGATCCTATTGCAACATGAGCACACACAAGAACTGGGGTGCAGGTCAGAGGTGCAGGGGTGAGAGGAGTCACCAGAGACAGAGTGGGGAGCAGAACAGACAGATGGACTGAAATACACTGCTGAGGGGAGCAGCGGGCGGGTCCGGAGAGGTCTGCAGTGCCATGTGGGTCAGCTCCCTGTCAGGCCTGGGACTGAACTTGTGCTGCAGTGGCTGGTGATAGCTTGATATCGCTGTCTTTAGCCTCTGCGTCGTCAGGTAGGCCCTGAATGGTACTGATTTTTTATAAATGTTCATCCTTTAAAATTTTCAGTGTATTTTAAAAATACATTAGGATAGCTAAGGGCAAGTTGCTATGTACTAAACAGTTAACTGTGGTATGACCTCACCATTTCTCTCAAGTTCAGCAAATTTTTCATATTCTGTATTTTCCTGATGCATGTTTTGAAGAGCTACTTGACCACATTACTACCAATTAATATTAGATTTTAATTTTCTGTTTTTGCAAGGAAGGAAGGGGTCATCGCCAACCAATAACATCTGAACAAATGTTTTTTTTCAGAAGGGAAGAGAGTATTTTCAAGTTTTACCCCTGTGTGGGCTGAGTAGTTTTGATTATTTTGAGTTGTTGTGTTCTTTTTTCCCCCATGTGCAGTGATGTGTTCTGTGGATTTTTACTCTGTACCAACCTTACTCGCACTCCTCGTATTGGCCAACTTCAGGGTGAGATCATCCCAACTTCCTTCTACCACCAAGGACGGGTCATTGACTGCAGGTAACATTACAAGCCAGAAAAGCTAGTGAATCATGAGAATCACAAAGTTAGAAAAACCAAGGGGAAAGTTTCTGGTGCTCACACAAGGATTTTTGATTGAGATTTTATTATCTATATTTGCTTAATATTTTATTTTATGTTGAGAATTGTTTTTCAAAACAAAGGTGCATATTGATTTGCATGTAGTATTTGGTCAAAAATGTATGAGTTCGAAGTACTGAAGTGTTCTTTATAGTCAGAGTCTTAAGAGGAAATGATGGTGCCTGTTTTGACCCATGATTAAAGCTTTGAGTACTAGACTATGTCACTATTTGAGCACTGTGTTTTTTTTTTTATGAGAGACAAAAGGGATTTTAAGCTATACTTTATGTATCATGTGTCTGGTTTAGAAGATGTTTTAATAAATATCCAATCATATGCAGGAAATATTTGTTAAAATATTTATAGCCATAGACAAATATTTGATAGCCAGTTAACTGTGAGTATAAGACACAGAAGGTATAAGGCTTATATAAGGTTTTTTTTTTTCCAGCCGGGAATTCATATTATATTACAATGAACATCTCTCATTGCTCTCCTCAGGTTGCCATAATTCTAAGATGCTATGCTATGTTTTGAGTGATATTGTTACTGCCCAAAACAGTTTAGGGATCCCTTTACAACACTAAATTCATTGGCTATGAACATTTGATCTTTAGTTTCCCCAGAACTGTAATTTCATCTTCTATGAGTGGACTAAGATTTGGAAACATCCAGAAGTGGTTTTGGATAAAATTTAATAAATTTCCTGGGTAGTCAAATTGGATAATGTTGTCTTAGTTAAATGACCAAGACATTTTTTTTCTCTTTTAAATGGCTGTGAAGGAAAATTTAACAGGGTCTTAGACAATATGATTCTCCCTAGAATAAATTTTGAGTCTTCAAATCTAGCTGTCTTGATCATATAAGCTTTCTCTGTACATGTAAATTTCCTCAGCCTTTAGGTACAACAGCCTCATTAAATTACATTGTTATAGTCTAAACTGGTATATTAGCAAAATAATGTGTAAGGAATATAGCATTGATTGTTTATCAAATTTAACTTGTCCCTAACTTTATAAATGTCAATAGAGAAGAACTGGTCTGCTGTTTTTTCAGTGAACCATTCAATTTTCTAAATAATAATTTCAAAGTACTTTTAGTTGCTAGTTTTGCTCACTGTTTGTTTGTTTTCTACCATAACACAGCTGAAAGCCTTGGAGAGCTCCGATAAGAATGCTTCTCCTGTTTTATGTAGACACTTCTCCCCTTATGTTGACCTTGAAAACAAGTGAAGATTTAGAATAAATGACCTTTTTTTCTGATGGTGTGAAATATAATGATGATGGAAGGTAGTTGCTTTTTTATTAAGAGAAGCCAGGGTAAAGGAGGAGAAAAGTGGAGAAATTTTTTATTAAGGGAAGCCAGGGGGACAGGAGGAGAAAAGTGGAGAAATGCTAGGACAAATCCACGCTTCCTAACAGCCTCCTTAGTAACGTGAAGAGCAAGCTTTTTTCCGCATTGCAGTTGTATTTGAATGTGTAGTGTTAATGGCTCATGAATATTTCTCTCCTTTTAGTGGTGCTCATGTGGTTTTAGATGATGATACAGATGTGGGTTATGTGGAAGATGGAACGCCATGTGGCCCATCTATGATGTGTTTAGATCGGAAATGTCTACAGATTCAGGCCCTAAACATGAGCAGCTGCCCCCTGGATTCCAAGGGTAAAGTCTGTTCAGGCCATGGGGTGAGTAGCCATCTTTATTCCAGCTTGGCTGTCTGTTGTTTTCTTTTGTCCTCAAAATTTACAGTCACTACACTTCCAGTTCAGTCATTCTTGGTCTGTGACTCTTCCCAGTATCTGTATGTTGCCTGTGAATTTTCCCTACATATCTGCTAAGAATACTGGTATGTGTGTTACCATGATTTTATTTTTTATGCTTTCTATTTTTATATTTTAAATTTTATTTTCAGTTATTGCTCTGAACACATTATAAAACTTTATGCATAAAAAGAAAATTCTCTACTGTTCCTCCTCACTTTTTCATCTTATTAAAAAAGGATCGAATACAGCCTTGTTAGTAGTAGGCATGGCTTTAGAACATTTCCGATTAAAATGCTTCTGTACCAACAAGCTTACTTTGATTTTCTCTTTAGCCATCTGTCTCTGAATATATTTCCCAGGCAGATAAGGTTTAAATACTTGTCTTAAGTTTACCGATGGTTATTTGTTTCATCTTAATTACAAGTCCATTCTAACTTGCTGCTTGGACCCCAGAGGCAGGGTGAGGAGACCAAGATCATTCCAGAAAGGTCTTCAGCAGCTGATTGAGAGAAAAGAGATAGCAAGGGCATGCAAGGAGTGGGTATTACTTATATGGCTGGGAAGGTATTGAATATTACCAGATGAACTTGGCTTTGAGCATGGGGAAGTCATACAATGCCTTAATGAATATCTCTTAGTCTTTAATTACTGGCATTGCCTCTTGAGCCCAAAATCTATTAAATTCTTGAGTTATTTATTTCTAAATATATATATATATTTATGTATATATATTTCTAAAATATTTCCTAGAAACAACTACTTCTGAAAATATTACACTGCATGTATTTAAATAGTATCAACAAGAAAAATTCACATGAGTAATAATTTAACATGTTTTTCTTTTTAATCCTTATATTTTTATAATAATCTGGAAAAAAGCACCTTTAAACAATTTGAACTATACATTGTTTCCTTTGTCTGCCCTCAAAATTTTGTTACCTTTTTTAAAATATAATAATTTTGGAAATTTCTGTCCCACCAGTTTTTCTTTTACATAGATCACCATTGTTCTATAAAACAGAGAGAAAATGTCCTATGTCTGTTCATTGTCCTTTACAGGTGTGTAGTAATGAAGCCACCTGCATCTGTGATTTCACCTGGGCGGGAACAGACTGCAGCATCCGGGATCCGGTTAGGAACCTTCACCCCCCCAAGGATGAAGGACCTAAGGGTTTGTGTGATTTCAGTTTCGATTCCTTGCGTTCCAGATTCATTGGCACTCTGCCAGTGGTGTCAAGACAGCAGCTTAGGTTTGACAGGAGACACAAAAGAATTTCTCTATTCTGTTTTTAAAATTTAATTCATGTTTTTTCAGGATCAAGGGTCCTCATAGATCACATTAAAAACCATGTTTGAATTGCCCCTCAGTCTACAGCTAAGCTTAGGAAGAAGTCAGTATATTGGTTTCCTTTTTTCCAGGTTTCTTTTTCCCTTTTCATCTCAATTCTTTTTTCATAATCACAGATTTTAATAGATTATAGTTTGTCTAAGCTATCCCAATTTTCTAAGAGAGAAAATTGGGGGCTGGTGTGTGGCTCTGGTCATTTCCTCATTTCTTGAATCTCTCCAAAGGGAAGTTGCAGTCTTCCATGTTCTGCCTTAAACACACTTTTAATTAGGAAGAAATTGGAATTCTTCATAGAGCCTTAACTTTTAAAAAACCATGGGAGGCCCTCCCTGATGGCACAGCGGGTTCAAGCTAGCCCTGCAAGCTAGCCACAGCCGCTTCAGTGCCGGTTTGATCCCTGCCCCGGAGGTGACCCACATGGCATGGCAGACCTGACTTAACCCGTCTGCTGCTCCCCTCAGCATGTACTTCATCGATCTGCCTGTGCTGCTCCCCATTCTGTCTCTGGTGAATCCTTTCACCCTCTGCACCTCTGACCTGTACCCCAGTTCTGTGTGCATAAATAAATAAATCGTAGAAAAAAAAATGAGTGATCTGGACCTTAGCTTTAATCAGCCACTAAAAAAAGAAATTTAGAATTTCTAATTAAAAATGGTGTCAGTGGCCATAGAAGCACTCTTCTCTTGAGTATGTGAGTGCCCAGGTAGCAAGGTGACATAGTATAATTACTTAGGTAGCTAGAAGCAGGGCTGGGTCCAGGGCCCTTGCCCCAATCTCAAGCCTACGCGCTCTTCTGTTGCAATAGGTAGTAATGGTCCATGACATCATAGATATGGCCGTCACTTTCCTATTATTCTCCACATGGCCTCTTGCATATGGCTCTCAAAGACCTAGAAAAGTCATCGGTTGCCATAGTCTGACTGCGGCACCTATGGCTTTGTACCTGAGAAGCTCAGTCATGACAGATGTTGTGTCCCAGAGACTAGGAATCAGCTGCTTCTTCATAATGGTGCTGTGGATGGTATTTTACAAATAACATTTTTGCTTTTCTCCTACAGGTAGGAAAGCTCATATAAAAATAGTATTTTAGTCTGTTTAGTTCAAGATGTAAGTTGTTTAAATGCTCTGAACTTCACTATTGTCTATTCGGGAAAACAGAACTTCGAAAGCATAGGGACTCTGTAGCCCTCAGTTCCTGGAGGTGTAGGCTGGTTTGGGTGCATGTGTATTTTTCAGTAATAGTGGGTGTGTGAAAACACTTTTCATGCATTTGCTTAATGTACCCATGATATTAAGATGCTATAGAAATCATCATCACATCACGCCCTCACACTCTATTTTTGTCCTGCCTCTTCTATTTTTAAAAGGGAACTGATTCCACTTTCACATTTAGTCTTTTGTTACTTTAAAACTAGAACAAAAAATTTTTAGATCCACCCTCAGAACTTAGATTTAGAGAAAATTTAGAAAGAGAGCTTAATTCTTTCCAAATCTTCTCTCCATAGTGTATTTTTCTCACAAAGATCTCGATGGCTGTTTCCTTAAATGGTGCACAAAAATGCCTGAACAGATGAGCAGAGCTGAATTGCTTCAGCTGCTATCTTTTTTCAGTACATGGGCCAAAATTATTAATTACCTGGTCTGATCCCTGTTGCTGCACCCATCCACGCCTAGAAAGCTTCTTTGACTGCATGAAAGGAGCAGCTACAGTCTAGATAGGAGGCTGTTCACAGCTGCCTTATGTTTTCTTTTACCACCTTACTGAAAATGGTGCTATTTTACATTATCTTTCAAAAATAACCTGTCTTCAAAGGAATACACATTTATTGAAGAAAAGTTTGAAAATATAAAAATCCGAAAGAAAATAAACATTTTGAAAATAAAAATTACCCTTTATTCATGAATCAGGCAATAAATATAAATCAGTTTAGTCCATTTCTTTCTAGCAAAAGTTTTCTGTTCTTTATTCTTAATGATGACAGTGGAGGCATAGAGTAAGAAACCCTTTGATTCTACAACTTTTAAAATCCTCAGAAATTTCTAATAGTCTGACTCAGTTGGATAAAAAGCCATTCATTGATATAAGCAGTTATTAAAAACTATTAAATTTTCAGAAGACATAAAGTTTTAGTAGGATTCAGTAATAGATGTATCTATAGTAGACATTTGAGTCTTTTTAACTCCTCTTGAAAGATCAGTCAGATCTAATAATAAAATGAGAAGCAACAGAAATTAAAACTTTAACAATTTGTTGTAGGCGTTATTTATTTTTGACATTCTGGTTAGAAGAATATAAGAGAGAAACTATGTGCCTTCTAGTTTGTCCAGGCAAGTATTTATTGGTGGTCCACTCTTTGAAACAGCACATCGGTTACAGGCCGTAGGCACTCAGTAAGTGTTCTAGTGCCTACCTTTGGTATGAGTCAAGGAAATCAGATGTTGCCTGTTGGTGCTAATGTTTAGTGTATCTCTGTCCGTTTGTTGTATGGCTCTGTTGTAGAGTAGCAGGTTGTGCACTTAAAATATTGAAACGATTAGTACATTTTTGACGATAGTTACCTTCACCATCTGAGTGAAGTGCCTAGATCTTGCATAACTGCATATTGAATATATTTTTTTGGGGCTGACTTGATGTGGCTGGCCCTTTCACCATCTGTGTGAATTGATTTGGGCCTTTCCCAAATGCTTGCCATGCATAGTGAAGGATGCCCACAGTCATTTGGCTTTATAGCCATAGATGAAGGTCTTTATAGCCATAGATGAAGTTCTCTATTTATGGATACAACGAGAGGGCATTAAAAAATATTTAGGTTTATTGAATTTCAGCGTGCTTCCTTGTTATGGAGAAAAATAAATCCAAGAAGTCAAATGAAAATGCTGCTTTAAAAAAAAAATCATGAACAAGGACATAAAGATAAATTACACCCAACTCTGCAGCCCTTTGGATCAAGATCAAATAAGTTAAAAAAAAAAAAAAAGAAAAAGAAAAAATGTGACCATTTCCACTGGTTTAAGGACGTCAGAATGATGTATTTTTGGCATTCCTTTTATTTTAACGCTAAGTGCCTGGAAGAATGCAAATTCAACCTCTCCACCTGGTGTGGAGTAAAAACACACATGAAACACAGTTGTGAAGTCAGGCTGCAACTCTCTGAAGTAATCACAGTGGATCCTTAATCCACAGCTCACAAGGTCATTTGTGCCCGCTCCTCAAGCCGAAATCTAAAACAAACAAACAAAAAACACACTTGAGCACTCGACTTTCTATTACACTGTTTCACTTCACTTTTCTACTATTACACTGTTTCACTTAACTTTTCTACATTGTCACATTTTTCACATATGAAGACTCTTCTGGTGTTTCTTCTCCCAATTTATTTCCCCTGAACTTACTTAAATTGTTTTGGTTTGTCCTACATGGTTGAACTTTGCTTAAAAAGACCCAGAATTCCCCCTTACTCTACGGAGAACCCTGTCAAATACCAAGGTCTTGTCAGTTTATAGACATCCTTGCCTGGCCTGGCGCTTAGTATGGAATTCACTAGACCTTTTCTCATTGATTGGTTTGCATCACCATTATATAGGGCAGAGAAAAAAAAAATTGAACATTGTTTTAATTGATGGAAAGATAGAGACCACACCTGGATCGCTTTGGCCAGACCCTTCCATCATGGTCAGAAGTCAGAGAATGGCTTTGGTGGCACTTCAGCTGAGACCACTTGTGTTACAAATGAGAAAACTAACTGTATTATCAGAGGTAACAACTAGCTAGAGGCTGAGCCAGGTATGAAAGGTAGATCACCTGGTCTTGTGCCTTACCTCATTTACAGCTGAGTGTTGTTTGTTTGTTGTTTTGTATAGCACTGTGATAATGGAAAAGTGAAATAGTAACCAGATAATGATTAAGCTTATTAACTATTTCGTTATTTGTCAAAGCAAGTGTTATATTATTAGCAGTTAGTATTTTAAAAACAATAATTCTTAAGGTTAATTCCCTGAGGAGTGTTCACAACTTTTACATTTACTTTTTAATGATCTCTTTGAGAGCTTCCTTTGATTTTATAGCTCAGGTGTATCTTGTGGGAATTTTTCTCATTTACAGTGGACTCATCAATAATACCTTGAGGGTTTATTAGGCTTTATCTTTTTCAGTAACTGAGTTTACTTTGTTTGGGTTCAGAAAAACTCCATGATATTTTCAATGATAGTGTAAAAGGACTGAAGTAATACCCTTCTAGGAAATAATATCTTTTTCGTCCTCTTTAACATTGTCCCAATGTATCCAAAAAGGTACTAAAACTTTCTCACCTTATGGAAAAAGATTAAGGAGTAATGATTGTATGTCTGATATATTGAAATATGAAGTTAGTTAATAAATATCCATATATGATGTCAATAGAATTATATTCTAAAGTATAAAGAATATATTTAGTGTTTTCTAACTTTAAGTTTTAGCAAAATAATAAATCTCTGCAAAAAGAATTTTTGTTTTCATAGACATCAAATGATGCTTTGATGTCTCTCTAAAAGGACACTGCGTTGTAACCATGTGATCATTGGAAGCACATGGACAAAATAGTTCACCTTCTGTTTCACGAGAAATCTAAACAAACATTCAACTTCAGATGCCTATGAAATTATTCTACATATAAAATAGAAATCCTGAAAAAAGGAGAAAATTTATACTTTGTATCTTAATATTACATATTAAAAACACTACCATTCAGCACAAATTACCTTGGAAAGCAGGAACCACAACTAAAAATAGTAGTAGGAGGAGTAGGAGTAGTAATATAATAAAAACTAACAACAGAGGGCCCTCC